TCTTTTCTTTTATCTTATATTATTTAACAAATGTTTTATTATACTAAAAAAAGTATGATTGTAGATCCGAAATTTTTATATAACGAATTAACGACATATCTTCGTAAGTATATAGATAAGCGAGTAATTTTTAAACAAATATTAGCCAATGTTTCGATTACTCGAAAAATTATGACGTTCGATTTGTTATTTTTGATAACAATCACATGTATTAAACAAGTGATATTTATGTTAATTGAAAACTATATTTACCTCGTTAAATTTATTTTATGAATTTTATTAGTTAGGCTATATTACTTGTTTGTGTTAAAAGTTTAAATAAATGTGAACATTACTAACATACAATCGTGATATTTTTTATATATAGTAGAATTAAGAATAGTGGGGAAAGGATATGAATATTGTTTCAACAATAGTCATGCATGAATATAAAATAATACATATAATTATTAACCCAATGACTGCCAACTACGAGATATCTCGTAGTGTGTGCTGCAATTTTAGATTAATTACAAATGGTTATTTGCGTTAAGAATTATTAAAAAGGTTGAATAAAATATTTAAATGTTGTAAAAAACATTAATTATCAATTATTGTAAATCCATCACAATATATTATATCAGTAATTTAATATTATTATATTTTTAAAAATTTAAGGCAAGCGCGTTAAAAATATGTCTGGCAGTCAATGGGTTAAGAACTTACATGTTTAAAAAAAATTCAATACTATTATTAAGTGTATTAAATAATAAATAATTTCGTTACACAAATTGCTGAGGATCGGAATTAATATACTTATCAGAGATAATTTAATTATAGTTTTCAATGTCAAGTAGTAGCAGACAGAATAATTTAAGAATTATTGTTTTAATTAATCTCAGCGGCTGTTTGTTAACAAGCATCCAAAAATTCATGTGGATATTTTACATTATTGAGTATTCAACATCAGAAGATTCTTCATGTAAGCTACTTATAAACGAAGACAGATAGTTTTGACTGCGAGAAAAAAGTCTGGTCTAAGCCATCTAGTGATAGAAAGTAAAATCATCGTTCAACATAAACCCCATAGAAAATCTCTACATACAAATAAAAGCCAACTACTATAAAATATAAGCTTCATGAAAATATTAAAAATCTCTTTTATTTTACATATGCTTAAATTATTTAAACTTTATTTATTTTCTATCAGTTTATTTTTCATAAAATAATATTAATTATATAAATCTAACACATACAAAATACTGTTTTAATCATTAAATTTAAATCTATATCTTACGATACTATTAATATAATTTATGCTTAAACGATTTTCAATCTAACAAATTTGTTTATAATCATTATTAGATTACATTTAATTGAATTATGGTGTTCAATCATTGGATCAAATAGAAATAATTTATTTTTCGTATAAACTATAAAGCTTCTCATTATTATGGAACTTTTTCAAAAATTCTTACAATTTTACGTGATCAAAATTATTTAAATATGAAGAAATTCAAATATCCCGTGTCTCTTCAATAATTCTAAGGAATATTTTCTTTTCAGAAAGTTTTAAAAATTATTAGCCATTCAATAATTTACATTTGTACAGAGGGACTGTAGATTGTATTTTTTACGGACCCCTTCACATATATTTTGTTAGAAATTAAATAAATATAGAATAACATAAATGTTTGCAGGAAAAACATATAAACACGTAAAACATGCATTTTTGAGTAAAAAAGGAATGACAGATTAATTCATATTGCCAGCGTTTAATATGTAAAATTTTATAAATCTAACACATAAAATAATATTTTAATATCGATATTGATTATTATTATATCTGAAAATACTGAAACTATAATGTACATATCAACGATTACGTAACGAATAAATTCATTTTACATTATTTTTAATTAACATTTAATTGATTATATTACTTAATGACTGGATTAACTATAAATAATTTACTTTTCGTATAAATTATAAAGCCTCTCATTATTGTGGAGCTTTTTAAAAAATAAGGAGAATTTTTCGTAATAAAAATTATTTAAACATGAAAAAATTCAAATATCCTTATCTCTTTAATCATTCTAGGGAATATTTACTTTTGAGAAAATTTTAAAAATTATTAGTCATCTATGTGTAAAATGATATAACAAATAATATTTAATAATATCAGATATTTGCAAACATAAATTATCCTAAAAGATACATATGTATACATGAAAATGTGTTTTTATTCTTAACACATTAAACGTCGAAGCTTACTTTGCTTTTCTACGGCTAAACAAATCCTGATCTGTAACTAAATTTTTACAAAGTGACTATTTATCTGATTTTTTGCAAACTTTGGCTATGTTTTGTTAGAAGTAACAAAAATGCAATATTAAATAAACACCGGCAGAGAAAAAAACATTAAAACGCATATAACATGATTTGAACACAATTAAAATTAACAATAATCAGACGATACGTTTCTGTGTGAGCACGCGAGCGGTTAGTAACTGGGACGTAATATTTTTCGTAAAGTGAAACTATCTAAACTCTTTTATTGCCGAGCAAAATATTATATCTATGCGAAGAATATCGAGCTAATTCGACGAATTTGCTAAAATTTGGGAAAAGCTCATAAAAATCAAACTAAAAATGATATTTACAAAATTCAAAATGCGATATAAAGAGAGAATAAAGTAATGGTAATTATATTTAAATATTTGTTAAAAATCATACTTATAAAATCAATATGAAACATGATGAAAAACATAGAAACAAGTTTTTCTTCTACAAACAATATTTGCACATAAGAATAATCATCGTTTGATCACAATTTTATTTAAATCACGTAGTATGAAGTATAAATATTACATTTATAATCATTTTTAATTAAATAATTAGTATCAGACTTTAGTACGAAAAGATAACTTCATGATGCACGGCAAGAGTCAGACAGATCAAGCGTCAATAAATTCCACTAATACTGCGTCATCCATATCAGTAACAGAACGTAGTTTAAATAAAAAATAGCAACAAAATTGACAAAATAGTATGGTAATAATTACAATTGTATCAAAAACGTAAAGGTTTTTGAATACTGAATGATAAAAAATGCTCTTTAGAAAAGTCGAAAAAAAAACTAAAAAGAAATTTTTGTTTAACTGTGTCGATGTTAACATTGTGTCCTAATAAAAAACGTTCTAATAGTTATCAAAACATATTGCAATTACGCGGGTCTCAAAAAACTATGTATTTTATTCTAAATTTCAAGTCCGCATTTCTATCTTATTGCTCTATAGTATACAGAAAACTTGGCACCAAAATGCATAGAATAAGACAAAAAAATAATTTTTTTAATGCTTTTGCAATGAAATAATACCGCTTAAAACATTTTAACCCCTTAAACAGCACGCTCGAGTTAACTCGAGCGGCGTATTGTTTTATATTTCTATGATTTTTTACACTCAAATATAATAGAAAATTGAAAATAAGAATGTGAAAGCAAAGAAAAAGAACCGTTTTTTCCGAAAAATGTTTTTTCCGAAATAGTAATTCGAAAAGAAAGATTAAAAAGTCGACGTACGTGTAACATTGCAATATTCGGCTCTTCTCTATAATGTGGAACAAAATCCAAAATTAACATAAAAATATTGATTATTTCTGTATTTTTTTAATTTTTTTTATCAAAATAATGTTCTAAACTATGTTTTTATGCAAAAAAAAAAAGATTTTTTTTGTAGTTTTTTTTCAAAATCAATGCTGCTTAAGGGGTTAAAAATTTATTTCTAGATAAAACTTTCTTGCAATTCAGATAGTAAAAGATATGCGACGATATATATCGTTGTTAGCACTTTTTACAAGATCGACGATTTATCGGCGTTCAGCTCTGAAAGGGTTAAAATAAACGCCAGTAGGAAAAATATTTCCGTATTAAATATTATTTGCAACGCACAATTAAAATTAACGTTAATTAGGGCAATACATTATTACCTAGATCCAATACATAGTATTACCTAGAAGCCACCGGCTGTACAACAAACCGAACATCATTAACGTCGTAAAATCACGCCGATTAAGATGGGTTGGTCATATGGCGCGCATTGGAGAGGATCGAATGGCGTATAAAATACTGGTCGGTATACCGAACGAGAAAAGACCATCAAGTAGTCCGAGATGTAGATGAGAAGACAATAATTAGGAGGGATCTTAAAAAAATAGGCAACGAAGATCGCAAATGGAGAAGTCGCGCTCAGGGACGGGAACACTGGCGGGATTTAGTATTTGCGGCAATGAACTTTCGTGTTCCTAATGCCAATTAATAATAATATTAATAATAATACACACATTACTACTATCTGTGTGAGCACGCGCACATTTTAAATTAGTTAGACCATGAATAAAAAAAACTTCTCACACACGAAATTAGAATTTTTAATATATTATTTCTAGTATAATATCCATACTGAAAATGTATGCATATAATCTTTAGCAGAAGATTTCGCTTACACAGCTTATTTTACCTTATAGATAATTACTTTATATCAAGAATTTCTTGCTACCATTTTCTAAGCCAATAGAATTTGCCGTCGATGTTATTATTATATGAAGTTTTATATTTTCAATAATTAAATAAAAAAAGCTCCAACACAGCGCAGCTTTCGTCAAAAATTTATAATGTGGATATGACATTAAAGTATTGCATCGTCACAATCATTTATATACCTTTTATAGATATCAAGAATTTGTTCTTTTACGAGTATTTTTCGCCATCTACCGACCGTTAAGTGTATTAATTATTAGTCGACATAAACTGTTTAGTATTAAACATAAGTTTTCTTCAAAGCTATATATATATAATTATTGTACATTTTCTATCATTATTTATTTAAGGATACGTATAATTATAAATTACAAAAATATGCATAATCTTGAGTAAAATTAAATTAAAAATGGGAGAAATAAAGCATCCCTGATTAATTATCAGTATTTTTTTCTAATACATTATTACGAATAATTACATTCATACAAATTACAAATTACAAATATATTTATTAAAATTAATATATATTTAAGCTATTTATTTTGATTTAGTCAAGCAGGTCCTAAGATATCCATATTGGCTGTTGTATCTTGAATATTACTATGAGCTATCATATACTCAGACACTGATATATAAACAGCAACTAATATTCCTATAACACTAGCTGCATAAATGTTCCGTTGCAAAATAATACAAGTTGCTATACAAAGACCAAGATAAGTTGCATATCTTGCAAAATTTTCGTGTCTCTTGCGACCAAGAAGATCCGAATCTAAAAAATACAAATAGCTATTAATACCTCAACAAATAAATTTAAATAATAATAATTATGAATAATAAAATACCTACTTATACATAAGTTATCTTTTTTATGATGACCATCAGCACATTTAATGCACATATCTGGACCATCTCCAGTACAACCATTGCAAGCCTTGTCGCATCCTACAAATTAAAAAATTATAGAAAATTAATTAAACATTAGTTTTAAATAATCAAATCTTTTATCATTTTAATACTAATTCATAAATTCATAAATCTACCTAGACATGTAAATCCTCCTTCTTTATTGACACAGAATTGATTTCCTGGGCAAGACTCATCACTTCTTAAACATTCATTAATATCGAAACAGCCTTGTTCGTCAATCATATACCATCCATTTGAACACATCTCGCAATATTTAGGGCCTGGCCCTGTGCAAGTACCGTTGCATGCAGCATGACAAGTAGAACATAACAATTTATTCTCATCTCTATAAGATTCATAATAGCCAGGTGCACAATCATTGCATGTTTCTCCTTCATAGCCTTTATCGCAAAGACATTTACCATTTCCTTTCCTTGTACCTGCACCTTTGCATTTACCATTCTTGCTACAAACATTATCTGGGAAACCTACACACTGTGTGCATTCAGGACCATAATGATCCTTTGGACAACAACGTTTAGTTTGTTCAATACATAAATAATCAAATATATCGGGGTAGGTGGTCTGATGTTTAAACCACCATTCTTCTATCTTATTTTCTAATTCTTCTGCTATTGAATGACATTGATCTTTACCACGCTCTACTTCCTTACATAAATGTTCTTGTATCTCAATGAGACGTACTTCACTTCTCGCATAAGAACCTAATTTATCCTCTTCCCATGCACTATCTCCACCTTCAAATTTTCCTCGACTTGTACGTTCTAAACCCTACAAAAAAGAATACTTGTGGAAGCATTTAAATCATGCATCTATTATATTATTCAATTTTAAATGAGAGTAAACAATTAATGTAAAAATTATTAATATAATTAGTTAGTAAAAATCATTCTTACACTTTTAAAACTATTAACTAGTATTTTACAAGCTGCACAGGGTGGATACTTTTCAGCTTGCAATTCACTTTTATTAGGATTAGATTGAATACATTTAACATAATTGATTTCACTAAAGATAAAAACAATGAGGAAGATAAATAAGATTGATTTGTTGCGCATTATAACTATTAAATAATAATAATCTATGACTTAAAAAATATGTTTCTTAATATAAAAACGATACTTAATATAACATTAAATTACTATGTTAATATAAATTAATAAATAATAAACATTTTTTTATCTAAACATAAACAGGTAACCATCCCATGCGGTATTGAAAATTTTGTTCATGTGTCAGGATTGCGTTTGCGCAGTTATCGAATTGATTAGGAAATGATAAGAAGTTTAATAAAAATTACGGTAGATGGTGCTTCGATCACTTAAGCGCTACCTGGTAAGTAAACGGAGAAGTTTACTTAAAAATAGGCGCTAAATTAATGGTAGTTTAAAAATTTAAATGATTTTTGTATAAAATCTAAAATAACATCTCTTAAATATAGATGTATATATATATATATATTTTTTTTTTGTTTCTTTGTACAATATGGGAGGTTCACATTAAATGCGGCGGACTATTACACATTATACATAAGTTTCTACATGTTCTTTGTAGACTTCTAACAAGAAGACAAGCGGATTTACAATTTTTATTACACAAGTACTGTTTGTTTTTCTTTTCTTTTTTTTTTTGTTCTTTCTATAATATTATTACGATATGTATAGTATTATATTTCCTAACTCTATAGTACGAAATACTAATAAATGCTAATTGTAGTATTAAGTAATTCAGTTTTTAATACTACTAACGATATATTTAATCTTCTTCATTAATGGGATGCGTATTTCTTTTATGACTACAGTTCAAATAACTTTTATTTCTACGGACAATTTGTGTTTAAAAATGATTCATTGAGAGTTTTAATTAACACATTGATCGCTATGAAATAATCGTGGGTGTTTCTTCTAGGACTGAAATTCACCTTGCATAAATGCACTTATACTCATACTCTTTCTTTTCCCAGTGAATTGATTTAGTTTTGAGTTTTTTCTTTTTTTAAACTTACACGAATTACCCACAATTACATAAAGCTTTTGTTTAGGAGGAAGGACTTGATTTTAGTAACATGACGATCAACGTGTTATTATATATATATATATATAGTATATATAATATATAATACACATTATATATATATCAATATACATTTAAGAAATTAGGAATCAAATGCCACTATAGAGTTATTGCAACTACAGTCTAATTAAATCAAACACTAATTTAATATTATCCATATTATATATACTATTTCTTGTTAATAAATATGTACTTAATATAGTACTATGTAAACTTAATACATTATTTTTATATATATATAGATTTGTTGAAATAAATCTCAGAACTATTAATCTAGCATGATTTTGTGATGATGGTTTGATATATATATATATATATTAATTAATTATAAATAATAGATTAACCAGGACTAATATTTCAAACGTCATCATTCATCTAAAATTGCCTTTGTAAAAATCTCTGCCATATTATTTACGGGACAAAAAAATATATGGCAAAATATAATACCTCTAATTATAATGGCATTACTAAGATTAGAATTGACTTAGATTTTTTCGTAATGTTCTTTCGCTGCAAAAGTTTAAATATGTTTGTTTTTTTTTTTTCTTTAAATATTGGTCGACAATACAATTTACAATACTTTTATGATATTCTTTGTTCCATCTAATAATATTATTTATGTGTTAACGCAGTCTTGTTTAGTTATAATATCATATAAAAATGTACTGGAACGTTATTGTATATAATATGTATATGTTCTTTTTTTTTAAAACATAAATTAACATTTCTAAATATATAAACTTAGGTGTGTTTGTTTGTTTTATATGTATTGAGAATGCATATACATATAATCGAACATCGCATATAAAGCTCTCATAAAATGCATGGTCATTCATCGTATATCATGTTGTTAAAATTCCCATTTACAACGTATTAATAATATTACAATAACCATTGATGTTATTATCATAACTATTACAAGTATTTATAAGATACTTATATATGTACATATACGTACATGTATATAATGCAAATAACGTAATAACAATACCTGCCCGAGCTGCCTCCGTTGTATTAAAAAGACTTAGAAAAATCTGTTAATATTGGTATTTTAACTTAGAATGTATTTGGTTCATAAAAAATATTTCTAATCGAAGAGATACACATTCATTATCTTTTCTTCGCAATCAAATATTTTTTCTCATGGATTATATTTAAATAAAAATAGGAATCATTTTTGTTCACTCATTAAAAACCCATTAATCGATGTAAAACATTATCAGTAAATTTCTTTTTTCGTGTCTGTTGTTTCATACTTTTTGTTTTGAATCATAATTTATATTTAATTTTGTGTTTTTACCGCGAGATTTTTTAGAGTCTTGATATTATTAAATGTATTTTATATTTACAGAAATGAACATTTTATACGAGTTTTTATCAAAAATTTTTGTTTGATACTTGCTCTTAACTGCTGTTCTCAGTTGACTGTACTTTTAGAGACATATACTATAACTAAATACATAAATATAAACCGTAAATATTATTAACAATAAAATCTTAAAATATAATAAATTATATTTTCGTGCAATCGATTGGCTTAGTTTATAAAAAAAATTAAATTAATCCAAACGAGAATAATTTATCTTATAAATACAAAGCGATTTTGTTGTTATTTGTAAAAAGATTAGAGCTCGTAACTATAAAATGTCAAAAGCAAATACTTAATTGTAATTATTATTATATAAATATTATATATTATAATGCAATATAAATGATAGATGAACAATTATTTAATTAATAAAAAAAGAGACTGACAAATATCTTAGGTTAGAAAGTTATCTTTCATTAATATGAAACCTAACTTACATATTTAAAAAAAAAAAATACTAAACTACTGAAAAGTAAAACTAAATAAAATACTTAAATTAATTATTTATATCATTATGTATTATTTACTTAATCAAATTTTTCTTAAAAATGGTAACATAATGTAAATATTTTGCCCACAAAGAATACATTAACGACTAAAATAAACAAAACAAACAAAAAATAAAAGAATTCCAATTTTTTTAACTCGTATCAAAAAAATTGTAGAATTGTTTCACTTATTACGTTTGTGCTTTACAGTATATTAGATCAAAATAACTTAAGTTAATTATAAACATAATGTGTGCATGTGCTTATAAATAACAATTAAACTTAATTCATCATCCTCCTAATATTGATTTGAATATTGCAAGAAAATAATTATTCTAAATTAGCAAAAAAAAAAAACAGAAAAAAAGGAAAAAGGATTGTTAAAGCAATAATAAATTTAGAGTATAATACTGTATAGAAAAAAGAACTTAAAATAACAATGGTCCCAAAATCGTATTAATTATTATAAAAATTCCCCATGATTAATTCCAAATGGTAACTATTTAACCAAAAAACTATGTTCAGTCAACTGATAGATACTTTTAGTAATTTCAGCAATGTTTTGCTGACATGTTCCATATATTTAAAACACCAAACCGTCTGTAACTCCAATATTATTCTGATCTAACATGCAGGTAACATGTATAAAAAGTGTTCATTTTCATATACACGTATACATCTCTTTCGTTTCATGGGTATCAAACTGTTAGAACAAAAAGAGAAAAGAATCACCTAGAGTACAACATCGGGCAGGGTGCAATGCCACTAGGCTAGTTGCGTACCACTTCGTCCACCATGATGTCCCATTCCAGTCATTGAACTACCTCCTCCCATCTCATTACGAACTATTTTTCTTTCCTTGTAATAAATTTCTTCGCTTTCTTTATCGCATAGAAGTAATACTGCTCCGCCAAACAAAAATATAGCTGCACCCCATCCAACACCATATGCCCATCCAAATTCCCACATTGTTCTATTTCCTATTATTAAAGAGATTTAATAATAAAATACATAATGTTTATAGAATAAATAAAGTGTATAGACAATGGATAGAAATTTACCAAGATTTAATTCTGTTGCAAAGCACACAGGATAAATCACCAATGCAGTTAAAAGACATACGACTGAAATAAACATAACAAATTAAAAGATTATAATTTACAAGATACATACATAATTAAATTACAATACACTTACGTGCAATACCCATACATAAGACAGCAAATCTGTAAAATTTGTGCTTTTCTCTGTGATCTTGTGATCTCAGTCCAAGACCTGTTAAAACTGTTGCCATGATATCTGATAACAAGCATATCACGCACAAGGTAGCTGCAGCTTTTATATATGCTACAATAATAAAAATAAATCAGATTTATCTTATTATATTTAAATACATACATGCATAGAAAAGTATGTTTTATTTGCTTACCAACATCTCTAGCTTGATAACATCCTTGTGGATCTGGCATATTAAATGGCAGTGGAGTTGGTGCACCTTCTTCGATGCAATGTACAAAAAGTCCTTGCCTCCATCCTAAGGCCATTAACCAATCCGTCGAAGCAAGTCCCATTATCATTAAAAGTATCACTATAACCCCGCATATGAATGCTATCACCTATAAATAACAAAAATAATATAATTAAATTAAATATAAACAAAACAATTCGCTATTGTTCCTTTTTATTAATTATATCTTCTCATTAGTCTTGTATATTAACTATAAATTAAAACATAGCATTCAATTAGTATTAAGTATCAATTAACAACAATGTATACCTGTGCAATCTCATTATCATTAATGTGTTCTTCCGCGACCGTATACATGATCATTTTATATTAAAATCCTTGATTTAAGATAGGTTTTAGTGTAGAAATAAAAAGATTTCAAGAGACTATTCTTAGAAGAATAACAATAATAATAATAAAAACAGACGTTCATGAACACCTTGCACCTCTTAATAAACAATATTGTTTAGGGAACATCGTATACTCTTCCGTAATTTACGGTGAAATGTGAGGAAAAACTTAAGTGCATTTAGCAAAGCTCAAGTCAATGAACAGATGAATCGATGAATGTGGTAGATACAACAAGAGACGATGGTGTATACGCGATAGTGGGGACGCACTTTCGTAAAACGTCGTAGATCAACGTTAGACGATACAAAGCTTTCCGACAGAATGATTTAATTTCTTATCAATAATTCACTACAATTTCGTAGATCGTATATGGATAGTTAAATCATACGACTTGTTAGCTAATCACTTAAGGAATTTAAGCTTAACCGGGAAGATATTATCGTGGGACTCGTAAAGAGAAGCTTCCTACGAAAGAGGCTGCGCCCAGCTGCGCCCATTAAATGCCTGGCGCAGCGTCCGGGCCGATACTGCGCGTTCCCCCCTCATTCACCCACCCCCTTCACCACCCAACACCATCACCTACTCCTCCTCCTCCTCCTACTTTTCACCCAACGCAACTCCCAACCCCATTACCACCTGGCCCCAATCCTCTACTTTTCCAGTTTCTTTTTCTTCCCACTTTCTACGTTTCTTTTCTTTGTTAAACTGAATCTCTCACCTCCATCTTTTATCATTTTTTTTTTCTTTACTTTCTTTCCTTCTTTTTCTGATTTTATCTACCTTCTTCTTTTTTTTTGTTATTGCCTTTTATTTATTTATTATTTGACTGTTTATTTTTCATTTGATGTTAGCTTTGTTTTCTCATGAATAAAAAAATTACTATTTGTATATATAAACATGAATATTCTCTTTACATGGTAAGAGTAATGCAATTGTGCATAATTGTAATATTTACTTTTACTTTTATCTGCATAGTTAAAGTTATGTTATTGACTTTTCATTTGAATTCTGTTCTATTTAGATTTTATTTGTTTTCTTTTTAACATTTACTATTTTAAGCATTATATTATTATGTTTAGGATTTAGTAGTCGTGGATAGGAGTATAGTGTTATCATAGATTTAATATATATAATATAAACCTTTTTATATATTAATGTTAACTTACCTTCAATGGTCTTGTGACGGTAACTGTTTCTATTGTTGTTGTTTGTGCCATAGTTTTTTCTAAGATTATAAACTGTAATAAATAAAAATCAATACATCATAAATAAAATATATAAAATAATAAAACTTATAATAATAAGAAAACAATTATAGTAAAGTATATTACTGAAGAAATAATAAAATAAAAGTGAAAAATTTAGAAAATTGCAATATCAATGTTCTATCATTTAGTAAATTTATTTTCAATTATTAATAAGAAAACGATAACCAATACAAGTTTGTCTTGATATATGAAATTACATAGAAATAAATAACAAACTAAAATGATTAAATGTAATTATAATATTTTTTGTAGTGATTAGGTAAACAGGAATAAAGTGAAATGTAAGTAATAACATTATTATTTATATTACCTTTTGTTTTTAATATTAACTATCATATATACAGCCTATTCTTTTATTTTATATATTTATATTTTAATATTTATATTTATATTTATTTATAACTTAAATATGAAATAATATAAAATTCTTCACCCAATAAGATTTAGTAATACAATCAAAATGGACATATAGAAGCTTGAACAAAGTACAGAAGTACTGCTCTATAAAATATTTTTATATTTACATAAACATTTAAATACGTTGTTATTTATATTATGAATTCATTAAACATAGAGTTATTTTCTGGAAATAATAGTGTTAATTAACTTACGATACTTTATAAGTCCATTTGATCATGTTGCATGTTGCGTTGTCGTTTTTTGTACTAGATTATCTACGATTTGATTTCTAATATTTATACAGTCATCTTTGTCGTTGTTAACTAATACAATTGCACGAATAATTAATTGTTGAATGCAAGGTACAATGGAACTAATTAAATCTTAAATCTGTATATCCAAAATTATACTTAATTATTGTGTAGATCTTATTGTTGACCGACTCTTAGCACTGTATTCGTTGCATGTATGTGTCATCTAAGGAAAGGGAACACCCATGTCAAGTACTCAAGTGTGTTTGTAGAGACCTCTGGTCGACATACTTTTAGAAATGAGATTAAATTCAACATGGCGTTTGTTATTACAATTGACCAAATAATTAACAGAATAAAATTATTTTTAGATTATTAATACATTAATTTTATCTATTTTATAGTAGATACTTAATTATCAATTATCTACTGATAGCAATTTTTACTCTTGCAATTGAAACTTTAAAGTCTACATTTTTTATATATCTAATAATTATCTATTTATAATATTTATATACGTACATATTGTTGTATATTTTATTAATATTATCTACTTGTTTATAACAGAAATCAATTTTAATATATTTATCTTTATTTTTTTAGATGCTCTAATTTTTATTTTCACTTTCATTTAATGCTCTACCTTACCTACATCATCGTAGTGTCGGTCGATACAAATTAGTATTATTACGTTTTAAGGTTGTAATTAAAAATATCAATATCAGTATTTTTGTCATTAATCGTACTAGATGCAATTCTTATTTGATTTTGACGAATAAAGTCTCATTCAAAAGATGAAGGTTCAAACTTTTAATTCTATTTTCAAAATTTTAATAAAAGATTTATTCTTATGAATAAAATATTTTCGGAAAAATTATATTTTTTGAAGTAATATTTTTCACAGGAAAAAACGATACTAGTGACGCATGTTGGGGAAACCGAACTTTTCTCTTGCATTTTTAGTTCATATTTTGTACACACGTGTCGTTAAAGTCACATATTGAAACAGCCTTAAAAGCACGTGGGTTGGTTAGTTCTGTATTTATTTCTCTTTTGTAACATACACGAATTTTTTTTATTCAAAAAAATTACATTTTAAGTAAAAACAAAGGCTTATTTATATCCTAACTAATTATAGAAGTATAGTGTTTTATTTAGAACGTAAAATATATTAAACACATATACAAATGTAAGTAAAAAGTTTAATAATTACGACAATAGACAGATACACTATTCATTGCTTCTAAAATATGTATACATTTATTTTCGTTATTCTTATTGCAGATGGAAGAATATAGTAGCATCAGTGAAACAAAAATTTCTACCAAATGGTACGATGAGTTTCCGAAAGCAGAGAAACCTTGCAAGCATAATAAATCTGATTTTGAAGTGTTAAATTTAAAAGAGAAAGCAAAGAAATGTCTTGAAGCAGAAACTTCTGCATTTCAATTGAAGCAATCACATTCTCGAGATCCAGACTTAGATTGGTTTAAAACAGCAGCAAAGCGTGGCACGACATTAGATAAAGTAGCAGCAACAATTTTATTGATACAAATTAATCCAAAGTATAATCTGGCCCAAATATCGTTTCTTCTTTCTATGGTAAAATCAGCCAAACACAATCAGTGCTATTTTATATTCAGTGCTGTGAAAGATTTATTTTTATCAGATTTACTACATCCCACATTTAAACTTTTAAAGTTTGAAGAGCAAGATTTAGATAAAATAAACATTCCACAAAGCTCGAATCATCAAATAAATAAACTGGATCGGAATCAAGAGAAGTGGTTGGCTTACATTTACTTTGAAGATCAAGTGCGAAATCACTTTGAAACTTTTGTTTCAATGCTTTCCGATTTCGCTTCAGATTCAGTTGAAATGAATCGAGAAAAAGCAATAGATGCTATGAATTGTATGTTAATCGAAAATTCCGAACAGGAACACAAAATATTGCAATTGATTGTTAATAAGATCGGTGATCCATGTAGCAAAGTAGCTTCCAAAGCTGTGTTTTGCTTACTTAAATTATTGTACAAACATCCGAATATGAAAATGGTTGTATTGAGAGAAGTAGAAAAACTTTTATTCAGAACAAACGTCTCTGAACGCGCTCAATATTATTCTATTTGTCTGTTAACACAATTTGTGTTAAGTAAAGCGGATAGTGAACTTGCTACTTCTCTTATTGAAGTTTATTTTGCCTTCTTCAAAGCATGCTTGAAGAAAGGAGAGCCCGATAGCAGAATGATGGCTGCTATTTTAAAAGGAGTTAGCAGAACGTACAATTATGCTAAATGTGACTCAGAATTATTGAATAATCATATCAACTCTTTGTATAAAGTTGTACATATTGGATCTTTTAATGTTTCATTAAACGCACTTAATCTTTTATATCATGTAAGTATAGTTTTTGTTAATCATTATTATTTAATGTTAACCCTTTGCACCGTGATTTACATGCCATGTTTGATTCTATATTTCATTCTTATGTTTGGCTTATAAAATTCACTATGTGTGTGTACGATTTGTGGTTTTTATATTGGGATTGTAAAATAAATTACGAGTCACATGTTATAGTGCAAGGGGTTAATATCATAATAAATATTTTATCTATATTTATTATCATTTGTTTCCAGGTTGAAATAAAAAATACTAATCAATGTAATAGATATTATACAGCTTTCTATAGGAAACTGTTAGATTTACAGATAGGTGTAGCAAGCAAACGTGCAATTTTTTTAAATTTGTTGCATCGTGTACTTGTAAATGATGAAAGTTTAGTACGTAGACATGCTTTAGTTAAACGGACGTTACAGACTGCATTGTATTATCCCGCAAATATGGTTTGTGGTATTTTATACACAATATCCAGAGTTCTACAATATAAAAAGGATTCAAAGGGATTTTTCTTAAGTACTCAAAAGCTTATTAAAACTGAAGACAATGTGTCCAATGCAAACAAGATTAATTCATCCAATAATAGAGAAATTATTAATAGTTTTGAACATAATGAGTCTAAAATTCAACTGGAAATAGATCCAAGTATTATGATTAATGTTACTGCCAAACCTATTGAAAATTTATCAAAGCAGAATGTCGAAGTAGAAGAAAAAGTCGAAGATATTTTGCAAAAACCGTACGATCCGTTTTGTCGCAATCCTTTATACTCGAACGCATGTTGTAGCATGTATTTTGAACTTGTATTACTGTGTGATCATTTTCATCCGAGCGTATCTTTATTCGCAAATTCAATCGTTAATGGTAATTTTTTATTTATACATTGACCTTAATCATAAATTAATGTGTATTTAAAAGTATGATCCATTTTTTAGGAAAACCTATCAATTATACAGGAGATCCCTTGGAAGATTTGACGTTAATACGATTCTTAGATAGATATGTCTTTAAAAATCCAAAGAAATTGGAAAATAAGAAAGTACAAAAGAAGAATGATCCATTGGCATTGCGTGCTGGTTATGTACCAAAAGGTGTACGTTCCTTACCTGTCGATAGCATGGCGTATCTTAATGAGAACGAGAAATATATTCCGGTAGATGAACTATTCCTTCATCGTTATTTGAATATGCAGAAAAGATCTATAGATATGTATAACGATAAAGATTCTGATAATGAGAGTGTTAATAGTGAAGAATTTAATGAGTTATTAGGTAAATTGGGTACTGACGCGGATATGGATGATTTTGATATTGCTGCAAATATTGGAACGATAAAAAATAAACAAGGTAACATAATGAAATTGATATATAATAACTATTTTATTTTTATTTACTGTAATCTGAACATTCATTATAGATGATGAAGAGGATGAAAGTGATCAACAAATGGAGGACGAAGAAGAGGATGTCACAACATTTGATACAGATGATGAATATCCAAGCGATGTTTCTATTTCTAATGATAGCAATGACAATGATGCTGTTACACAGCAGAAGTCTAAGCATAAGAAAAATAAAAATCAAATTGATACAAATATGTTTACTAAAAACGATGACAGTTCTTCAAATAAGCAGAAAAAGATGAAAAAGAAACATAAGAGAGTAGACGAAAATTCAAATGATTCTTTTAATGGCGATACTAGCGACGATGATGATTATTCATTCTCACAGTCAAAGACAAATTCCAAAGAGGATCTAATGAGTTTATACGTATCCGCTGATAAATTTGCAGAAATGTTAGAGGAATATGGCCGTACGAAAACTAAGCATGGTGGTACTGATGCATTCAATACGATGGACGGTGCAAGTTCCAAACAAATTGATTGGGAAAGTAAAAGAAATGAAAAGCTTACTGGTTCGTATAGTAGAAAAAAACGTAGGTACGCTAAAAGTTCATGTAATAGAAATAACAAAAAAATAAAACATTAGGAAAACAAATTGTTATTATATTAAGTGTTATATTTATCTTATTAGTTTTTAAATTTGATAAAATCTTTTTGTTTTCTCAGAATAACATATTCTTATTTTTTTTAAGTATTGATATGATTAACTATATATGTTCGTATAGACAACAAAATACACATTTAATATTTTCTAAAATAAACATTTCACCTCAATTGATCCTTTTATTTGCAATCGCTTATATAACTGAATAGTTAAACATAACATAAATTACATGTTTTTCCAACACTTTATGTATTACTAAACACAATGTATTATTTAAAAAGAAAAAACAAACAATTAAGTAAATAAATTTTCTTTATATTATTGTAATTGAAGAAAATTAGGTTTCACGGTTTTTTTATTTAACATAATAATGTTAAACTTATAATTTAATGCAGTAAAATAGAACATTTTATTTAACGCATTACGAGTAATTTACTCTTTTTTTTCAAGTTAACTAAATAAAATTATTCTTAACTTTAGATTGTCATACATGCTAAATACATTTCTGGTTATTTTAACGACATGACACTGTAACATTTTACTTACAAAATTATTTCGACGGATGTATCTTTAAGTTCTTCTCTTTTTTATTTGTTTTTGTTTAGCCAATTAATATATAAGTATTAGTAAAAAAATTGCTTAATCATTATTCTTTCTTTCCGTGCAACATTAATATATTTTGTAAAAATGATTTAAAAAAAACACGCGATATAATTTGTCGCGATTATATGTGACAGATTCTAAAGCGTGCCGTGTATGCATATTTTAAACTTAAACGCTACTCTTGGTCAGGTTTAGTAGAACTTTCGTCGTCATGAGCTGGACTGTGCCATGTTAAACGTTCTTCATAAAACTTAATTACAATCTGAGGACATTTTTCGTTGGCGACTCGAGCAGGTACTAAATCGGCATCATCTGTGCCTTTCCATTTCATTAAAAACATTAATTCTCCACTAGAATCTGTTGCTCCAATAATGCGTTCTGGTTCTAAGTTTCTATCAAATCCTAAAATAATAGTTTTAATGTAATTTTAAACTTATATAAATATATTTAAAGAAAAATGTTAGACTTTTTTTTCTTCGTATAAGCATCTTTTAATCCTTTGTCCTACAACCACGAATCTGATTCTTGGTCAAGAATTTTTGTTATATTGATTATGATTACAGCCTATATATATATAGACGTCTTAAAATTACTATTTGTACCCAAACGTTGTTTATTATTGCACAATTCCTTTTGTTGCATCAAAATATAAATGTCATGAAAAGTATACATTTTGCACCAGTTCGGATACACGGCCACAGAGCTGAATGACACGGCGCGCGATCAATTCTTGTTTACTATGACTCACACAATCAGCAGATACCGTGTAGGACAAGGGGTTAACAATTGTATTTAAATTTACCTTCAAGCTTTTTTTCTTCGGTAGCTTTTTTCTTTGCCTGGGTTGGTGTGGGAGTACTGGAACTCTTTCTCTTTTTTTGTTCTTTATCTTCGTGTCTTTTACTGGAAGCAGCTGCTTCTTTCTTTTTACGTTGTTCTTCAAACTGTGCTATTAAATCCGGACAATCGAGATTCTCTTCAGGTTCCCATGTATTTTCATCATTAGAATATCCTTTCCACTTAAGAAAATATTCAACCTAAAAATTAAGAGTTTACAAGTTTTCATTCATGAATCATGTAACGTTCTTATACAAATTAAGATTACGAATGTAATATAAGACATACTTTTCCTTTAACTACTCGTCTGTCTAAGACTTTCTCAACACTGAATTCTTCTTCAGCTTCTCCTTCTGTAGCTGAAGATTCCTTCGATTTGCTCATGATGTTTAACGTAAAGTAATTAAAATATGTAGAAATTTATCACTTTAGTAGTTAAACTGTAAAATATTCAATACATAAATCTTAATAATAATATGATTAATAGTGTTAGTTAAAATAATCAGTTAAAAATAAAATATAAATATTTAGTTTAAAATTATAAACAATTTTAACAAAATAAATGCTAATAGATGAAAGCAATGCGTTCAAATATTTAACAGATTTAATGAAGCAAAGGTGCAAAAATCTAATTGTTATTAAATTAATAATATTAAAATTTGTTATATTTAATATATAAATGCAATAATAGATATAAATTAATGTATATTTTATGAAAAAAAGGGTAAGCTTAATGCAAAGAAAATGGCGGTAAAGTGTCGAATACTTGACAAGAGTAATTAATTTGTATTGAAGTTAAATAAAATAGTATTCAACAACTGCTATTTGAAAATATAAAATAAAGTAAATGATAATATGTAGTATTCATTACATACTTATAATATATTAAAGAAATCTTTCTAATATTTCAATTCATAAGCCCACGCGATGCCTACTTCACACACTTATAATGTCCAGTATCCTTCCAGTGTTGCCAAACTTAAGAAAGTTGTTGAAAATTGTACAGTGATTTTTTGTTATTGGTTAGTCGCAATTCTTTTAGCATCATTCTATCAAAATTGGAGGGAAATTTTTCCGGCTATTTTATTTTAGTTTATTTATTTTAATTATATTAAATTTATTTAAAATAATTCATATAAATCTTTATTTGTGATTAGGATTTATTATTTATTCTAAATAATTTATTTTTTATTTTGTTAATTAAAATGCAAGGCTAGTTGTATTTATTGTTATCACTTAAAGATCACAGCCATGATGTGCTGAAAAAACAAACAAATTGAAGTTAGGAATAAAATTTATTAATAAGCATTAATATTACTTAAATAATAATATATTTTGATATTAAATATTGGATATATAATATTAGAAATTATTTATGTATTGTTTGTAATTCTAAGAAATTTTATATACTTGTAAATAATTAATTTTACTATATTTAAGAGATTTATAAAATACTATCTGTTTGTAGGACCAAACAGCCAATCAGAGAAAGCTTTAGATCAACAGAAAAATCAGTTTAAATTTAAAATTATCAAACGGCTTTTTTAAATTTTATTATTGATAATTATAATTATATATTGAGATATGTTTAGATTAATAAACGTAAGTTTTTTTTATATGTTTAATGTATTAATTAATYAAATATTATTTATACGTTAATAATTCTTATTTAATTATTATTTATTTCATCAAGTTAATTTCCTCCATTTTTGTAACTTGGAAAAATAAGTAGACATTTATTTGTTTCTCGTTACCAAGACAATTTATTTACGAGTTTAGTCGCAAGGATAAAAAAGCTATTACAAAAAGCTTTGAAATTCAAGGATATTGAGTTTGCCATGAAAGAATATTTGAATATTTATCTTCTTTTCAAGGAAAAGGTAATCTACTCTTATTCTTACTTGACCATTTCATTTACCTTTTATTGTTCAATATAATTAAAATTAAATCAATTGAATTTTTCCAAATAATATCTTTTAATGATTAATATTTAAATTAAGTATTATTAATTGACAATCTCTAATTAAATTTTTAATTAATCAACTTTTATATCTTGAAAATATTCCTTGTACATTGTTTTAATATTAAAAGATGACTTGTTTTTTTTTTATTACTATATTAAAACTTTGTACAATTCATAATTTAATACGATGAATTAAATGTAATTATTTATTTAAAGAGGAAATATATTCTTATTAATAAATATAATAATATATATTATGCATTAATATACACTACAGTAATACGAAAATGCTAAAATCAGAATCTGTGAGTACCCTGAGTGATCGGGAAGACAATATTGATGATTTAGATGGTTCCATGGTTTGGTCCCAAGAGGAGCCTCTTTCATCTAATGAAATCTTAGAAATAGAACCAGGAAATGCACTAATGAGAAATGATGCATTTTCTCTTTGTCGACTATGTGCAGGAGAAACTGTAAATCCTGTATATATATATTCTGAATTAGGAGAGTCTATGAAATTAGCTCATAAAATGAATACTTGCTTGAGTATTAAGGTACTATCAACTAAAATGATTATAACAATTTTGATTTATTGTTTTTTATGTTTTATAGTAATCTAATAATTTGTAATAATGCATTTCAGATAAGGAAGACGGATCCTCTACCTAAACAGCTTTGTATCGTTTGTGTTGAGAAAATAAACTGGTGCAATGAATTTGATATTCAGTGTATAAAAGCGGAAGAAACTTTATTAGGGATTCTCAAAGAGAAACAATCTTTTAACATTACTGAATTACAAACGGATAATGTATTTAACAATATTAAATCATGTCCGCTTTGTATAGAAGGAAATATGAACACTTGTCAAGATGCAATACAGAATCCAAAAGATATGGAGTTATACGATAGCGATATTGTTTTGGAAAGCAGTGACGAGGAGAAAATATTTCATGATTTCAAAGCTGATTATGAAGAAGGAAATCGATTAATTATGTTGCAATGTTTAGGAAGTAAGCAGAAGTACTTGAAGTGCGGTGCATGCATGAATTTGTATCACACAAAAGAAACTTTGGATGACCATAAATGCAAGCCAAATATACAAAACACTTCCAAACCATATAAATGTTATTTATGCAATGCTACGTTTACTTTTGAAGAACGTTTAAATTTCCACATGCAGTTCCACAAAGGTGCTAAAGCTTTGTATTGCGAAATTTGTAAAATTACTTTTGGAAAAGAATTAAAATTATATTATCATTATAAACGGTATCACTGCAAGGATGTGACTGTTTCATGTTTGCAATGTGGAAAATTATTTGAAAACCAAGAGGAACTTAGGATGCATGTGTGCGTTGATGGTAAGAATAGACCTCATGTGTGCGAAGTTTGTAATAAAGGATTTTCAGATGGATATACTTTAAAGCGGCATGTGGTAACGCATTTACCAGAGAAACCATATAGATGTTCTCAATGTTCTAAAAGCTTCACACAAAAGTCAAGACTAAATAAACACACAGCTGCACATGGTATCATTATTGAAAATAATCAAACTATATGGAAATGCGTTCGTTGTGGAGCAGCTTTTAACTGTTGTGATGATGCAGATAATCATTATAAAATACATGACGATAAAATGATACTAATAGAAGAATTATTAATATCAAAGATCTATCATTGCGAATTTTGCAACATGTATTTTACTGATATAGAAAATTTAAAGAATCATCAAAATCAACACGTTGTGGAAAAACCTTATAATTGCAACATATGTAAGACGATTTACAAATCTTTTGCAGAAGTAGTTTTACATTGGAAAGAACATTCACGTATGTTTAAAGTTTTGACAGTGTTCCTATGCGACATATGCAATAAAGATATGAAAGAATTATCTCTTCTTTACAAACATAAACAGAAAAGACATCAATACATGCCTCGTATTTCTGAAACTGGGAACATGAAATATGTCTGCGAACTTTGTGGATCTGTATTTGATCAGAAGGAAAATATACAAAACCATGGACGAGATCAATGCTCGAAATTTCCTTGCGATATATGCGGTAGTTTATTACCTACTGCAAATTCTCTCAATGCTCATAAAAGAAGACATAGTGGTTTAAGACCATATGTGTGTAACATTTGTGGTAAAAGTTATACTCAATCCAGTCACATGTGGACCCATAAAAGATTTCATATGGGAGTGAAACCTTATGCTTGCGAATACTGTGATCAGAGATTTACTATAAAACCTGATCTAGCAGATCATACAAGAAAAAAACATACAAGAGAGAGACCCTTCAAATGCGATGTTTGCAATAAAGCTTTCTTAACAGGATCTGTATTTTATCAACACAGATTGATACACAGAGGAGATCGTCGGTATAAATGTCATTATTGCGAGAAAGCTTTTACCAGAACGGAAGCTTTAAACAATCACATTAAAATTCACACAGGAGAAAAACCTCACGCTTGTGACGTGTGCGGTCGATGTTTTCGACAAAAGGGCGATATGAGAAAACATCGACGTACTCAACACAATACCAAACAAGAGGGACAATAAAAATGTAAATGTTTTCTCTATTAATAATTAATTATTTTACTGATTTATAGTTTGACGATATTTTTAATAAACAGTGAGATTTAAATTTAGAAAATAAATAAATTTATAATCTTTTGAATTATTTAAATTAATATTATTATTTTTAGTAATGTCGATGTTTATTTTCAATTAATTAGTATAAAATAATAATACGTTTAAAATATTCTATTATTATAAGAATAACATTGATATATGATAAAAAATGTAATTTTGAAAATAGCGCTTTTTACAAATGGTAGGTGCGCAGATGGCAATTGCGTTGCGAGAGTGCGGAGAACAGGTGATATTCCTAATGTCTCATGATTTTATCACTGTCACGTATTTAATAGTCTTAAGGACGATCGTCGATATTTAGCATTTGGCTGTGACAGTATCAATTGTGTTAGAAAATAGGTGATTTTACAAAGTCATTTAAAAAAATGAATAGTATTAGATAAAATTGTAATAAGGTGCTCCTCATTTTGTGGAGCTTATATACGAGACACTTACGTGTGTGTAAGTATGTACATCTGTCAAGGATTTTTCCCTATAGACAATACATATATAAATAAAAGCCTACTAATTGTTTTACTACAAATAATTAGGCAAATAATTCTTCTATTATATTTTAACAAAATATTTTCTTATTAGATGTAAACCAGATGTAACCTATAAATGCGCTCAATGTATCTACCATGTTGAAATACTACAAGAAAAACATTCAATATTTTGCACAATTGTACTACATTCTTTGAGTAATTACTATAGAAAATATTTATATTAGAAGAATTTTTTGTTACACGTATTATATAATATATAGGAATAGAGAGGGAATGTATTTTAATCATACAATAATAATTTTGTAGGATGTAAAATATACAAAATTAGTGTGACACTTATAAGTATTATATTAATTAAATTAATTTTGTATTTTAAGGTAGGTTTGAAAGATGGCTTTTCCACCTTTAGTCAGTTCTACGCCTCCACCACTTGATAATTTTGGAGATTCAGATGAAGATGAATTTGGGGATTTTACAGCTGGTGGAATCGATGGTATGGTTAGATTATTATTTTTAACCTTTTGAGTGTTATGAACGCATATATACGTTTATCGATATGAATGCAAAGAATTCAATGTCATTTAATTGTTTAGTGGCTTACCATACCAAAATTATACTCGGTCATAACTTTCTCCTATTATCTTATTTGGAAGAATGACAATGATAATTTACTTACTCCTAGTATAACCAATCAACAGAGCTCGCATTAGTGAATAAATATCCTATCCTTATAAAGTGTTTTGATCAAGAGTATTGAATACTCAAAGGGTTAATTGTTACATGATTTATTATAGTTTCAATCGCATACTTTAATTTAATATTGTATATTAAAATTTATGAATTATAATCATTTTTATTGTTTTACAGGTTTATCGATTACATCAGATTCACCACATAAAATTATCACTCCCATTCAAACGCCAATAATGTCTGAAAATGTATCTCCTAAAGTTAACGGAGTTAATTATTCTCCAGGATCTAATAACATGTGCTTGAAAAATGATTGTAACATACTTAAATGTAATATTCCAGATGACATATTAATTGTTGAGAAGGCGGAAGATATTGTGAGCAACATAGAATTACACGATCATTCAGATAATAGTAGTATTAAAAAAAATAATTTTCACGATGACGATAATAGTATCATTAAAAATGATAATTTAAATCTATGTAGTGAGAATGATTTAAAAGCTACAGAAAACAATAATGATACTTACGATCTTTGTACTCAGGTCATCTTAGATGAAGTTAATTTAATTAATAAGAGCATAGTCAGTAGCAATAATAGTAGCTTAGAAAATAGCGTGAAGACTGTGAGCGAGCATGAAGGTTCATTAAATAATTTGGAAGTTAATGACGATGTAGAACCTTTAAGCCTAGATTTAGATGACCCCATAAATACATCTGATGGATTACAACATCTAGACAATGATTTTTATAATTACGAACAATTTAAAGATTCAGCAGACTGGAGTAGTTTTGATAATAATCAAATATTGCATAAAGAATTGTCCGTTTCGCAAGCTAATTGTTTTGATCTGCAATATGAAATTGTAAGCAATTCATATGATGATACAATTATTAATACAGACAATGATACTCACTTAGACTGCAAATCGACAGATGAAAGAATGAAAAAGAATGAAAGTAATAAAATCGTCAATGTTACAACAGATAAGTGTGAATCTACGCAAAATAGTAAAACATTATCCGATTCTCTTCCCTTTCAAGACCAGGATGTAAAAAGTGTAGACGTTCTTCCTCAATCGGACTGTGATTTAACTGTTGAGGAGGATCTCAAAGAAATTGAAGATACGTTTGATAAAAGTGAAACGTTAAGTAACGATATTGTATATACCTCTTTCAGTTCTGCTTTGGGTATTGATAAAACTATAAGAAATAAATCAAATCTAGATTGTAAATTTGTAAATAACGATATTGGTACCTCGCCTAATCTATCTTGGAGAGATAATACAAATCTTGAATCAAATGCATTTGATACGCTGGAAGTAATTGAAAATGTTACAAGTGAGATAGTTAATAATAAAAATAGTATTGCAATCAATGAAAATACATTTGCTGTAGATACAAATTTAGATAATGGAGATACTTTCATACAATCTGCTTTGATAGATAATAATTCGTTCGATAAAGAAGATCCTAATTTTACAGATTTCAAATCTGCTCAAGATTTTGATAGAGCGTCAATGTCCGAGCGCAATTTAAATATCATATCTGATAATTTATCTAATACAGTACAAATTGAGGATAACTTATCCAAGTTGTCGAGTGAAACAGATTTTCGACAAAATCTCTCATCTTTTGTAAACGTATCACTGCCAACGAATAAAACATTTTCTAATCATATTATACAGGCAGAATGTAGTGATTTAAAAAATCATTCGGATTTGGAACGTGCCACTTATAACAGTAGAACTTGTATAAACAATTTCGAAAATGATGATTTTTCTGATTATCAAGAAACATTAAGAGAAAATCAAATGCCAACAAATAAAAAGAGCGATACCTTTACAATACTTTCTAAACCAGAAATCGCAGATGATGATTTTGGGGATTTTACGAATTTTTCAAGCGTGGGAGATGAATGGACATCTAACGTAGTTGATCCCAAAGTACCTGAAATTGATGATGACTTTGGAGAATTTAATAATTTTGAATCTTCAAACAGTACAGTAGAAACACAACAGTTTAGTTTGAGAGAATCTATGTGTCGGATAGAAAATAAGAATGTGAGTTTAGAATAAATCAATGAAACATCTCTATAGTTATAGTACGTCATACCAGAATATTAGCACATTTGTCGCATGTTTGTTAATTCTGCATGTTATTTAACTTGCTCATATCATCGTCATGTAGTAATCATGTGATTATTTCCAGGCTGCAAACAAGATAGAAGATATAGTAACAAATATGTTTAGCGTGATGCCTACGCTTCCAGAAACCGATTTAAAACCTTTAATTACAAAAACAGATAAAATCTGGCAGTGCTTGAAAAATGTAGAAGAAACTAATGCTTTAACTTATCAATGGTCTAATAGTACTAGTAATAATGTGCTTTTAAATGCACTCGGCATTGATTCGCGTAACATTGTAAGTATACTTCTTTCTTTCAGTATTATATACATAACTTTAAATAAACGATAAATCTTTTCTCATTTATAGTTATTTGGACCAAGGTGGAATTCTAGTGTTCCAAGGTTCGCAGCTAATCTCGGCTTTACACCATTGGAACCAATAAAGGCATCCGTCGATTCTCCACCATCAACTGCAAATAAAATGCAAGGAGTGTCTACTTCGGATGTAAGTGTAATTAAAAGATATAATTAACTATAAATTCATTAAAGCACAATTAATGTTTACTAAATCATATCAGGAAGTACCTGCTGCCCAATTTGATTGGAATAGTTCTGGTCTTGTAAATCCTTTAGATGCTAGTAAGTATAAATTGTGTTTTTAAGAAAATTACTATGATGCATAAAGAAAAAAAAATGAAGAAAGTTTGAAATACTAAAAAACAAAAAGGTTGCTTTGGCTTTTTATATACGAATACTTTTTTCTAAGCTATGCACGCATATTTAAATGTATATAATACATCCTCTTAAATATCACAAACAATAATACAGGTGGTGGGTTATCAGCTCTTCTACCATTGGATTTATTGTGTCCGTTTGACCCTCTACTAACACCCCACTGTTCCACATATTCCGAATCCTATCATCAAACAGCTGCTTATACACGGGACTCCATATATTATTGTAAGTGGTAGCGCTAGCATTATCCTTTATCCTTGCACACTATAGTAAATGTATTTTTTATATATGCTATCCATAAAAAAAATTTTACATACATCCCAATAAATGATACTGTATTTATTTAATTATTATTAATAATTTTATAAGAAACATTTATTTTTATTATCGAACAGATTCATCAGATCCAACCGTAATCACTGAGAACAGCAATTTACAATCCATAAAAATATCAAATAAAAGTACATTGAATCCTTTCAATAGTGGATTGAACGATAGCATAAAATCTCAGAAACAACAAATGCAAACAGGGAAAATGATCGAACCTCTACCAGGTCCACACACGATCGATTGGAAATTGAAAGAAGAACACGATGTAAGTGGAGGAGGAGGAGCAGCAGGAGGAATAGGAGGAGTAGGAGGAGGTGGTGGTAGTGGTAAAGGAAAAAATTATCAACAAAAAGTATTAAAAAATGCTCCATCAGTAAATAATAAATCGTTCCTAGTAAGTAGCAGTGCTACAAAAAGTCAAGATTCGTATTATAGAAAATCGTCATTATCAAGAAGAGAACATTTGCAAAATGCGGAACATGTAACCGTCGACAGGTTTGGTAGACCAATGTCCGTGCATGCAGAGACTATCAAAGTTTTGAACCAATTGCCAGATTTATCATTTTTAAGTGCTAGAACTTTATTGTATAATCGTGAGCAAAAGCAAATAGTTCAAGACTTGGGTGCCATGATAAATCGGAAAATGCCTGGCTGAGTAACGTCGGTCTGAATACGAGTTTGATAAGGTAACACGAACAGAATGGAAAATAAATTTTTAATAGATACTCTAAACAATCAGTATAATCAAAAAACAAGAAAACAAATACTTCTGCTACCTTTCAAACCTGTGTTCAGACCAACCTCTGATCCATCTTGGCTCTTCCATGTTGGTATCATTGAAGATGTTATGTCATAAATGATATAACTGATGCTTGGTAATTTACTACTTATATTGGCACACAACAATGCACTTGACATTCCAAGATATATGATTGTTTGTGATTATTAACTATGGTTGTTATTATATAGTTATCCATCAAAGTATTTCAAATTTGTTCTATTATTATTCTAATTTTTATTATCTTGTTTGTTTGATCGGACAATCGTCGATTAGTTTTAGGAAAATATACGTTTAATTTTCTTTTAAATAGGCCACACATTTCAGTTACAAAATTTAGTATGTGAAATAGAACATGAGAGATATTTGTTAATATTTGGTTTTACCCCCTGTTCTAGTCTACATTACAAATTGGATGAAGTTTTAACACATGGTGTATTTGCATGCGTGTGGTAAATTTTGTTAAAGACATACCCATTGCAAATCTTTACCTAAGATAATACCTAAGAGCTTAAACTCTTTAAAGTATTATCGTATGATTCTGTATTTACGATATTGCATGTTGCTGCCTTTGCAACGTGTTTGTATATTAGAATATTTAAAAAGAAGAAAAAGAAAATAATGAGCAAAAGACAGATAGATAATTTTCCATGCAAATATATTACTTTTACACTCGAATAACACTGTTATCCCTATTCCAATATAGAATAATTATTCTATTCATAAATATTCATGTCAGTTAGGGCAGAAAATACTTAAGCGAGGAAAACAGTGGCTATGGTTCAATTTAATCGAGAAAGAAAGAAAAATAATGCATTCTTCTTAAACTGTTAGTGAAAAAAAGTATTTCGAATTATGATGTATATAACACAAATGTTCATATATACACATAAACATGTATTTTTATTTTTTAAATGCTAAGTGAAAGAGAGTGCATATTTTTCTTTGCTTCAATTATTTTAGACATGGTCTGCATACTAATTATAAGTCAATTACTTTAAATCCAAACCAGTTTTAACTGTTAATATATGTGATAAATTTGTCAAGAGACGATATTAGATTGCTCAACTTTGTCCCCTGACATATTTATTACATTTTCTCAATTTCTATATAAAAAGAAAAAAAAAGACAAAAAAGAATAAGAAGAAAAAGAAGAGAAAGAAAAGAAACTAGGACGTGATACTTAAATATGTCATAAATAGCCTTTACATTGATTACCAAGATATTAAAACATTAAAAAATTGCTATTACTAAGTTCGTTATTTATTAATATTAATATTGTAATATATTATATATATATTTTATGTAAAATATTGTCGATAATAATAATACATAGGAAATCATTGAAAAGAACGATTGTATTATTCTTAATCAGACATTGTATCTATGCTATTTAAACCAAATTCTTAAGTATTATTATTTAAAGATATAGTTGTGGAAATGAATGAAAATTAATGTTGTATACATTTATGTCATTTTTTTATTCATCATTTTTTTATTAATAGATTTTTTATGCTACATTTATCATAGAATGTATTATATTTTATCGTTACTTCAATTTGAAATGAAAATCTGTGTCGTAGTAGATTGCAGTAGGGTATTTTTAAAAAAGCGTCGATGTCCGCTTTTACATATTCGCGCATGCGCCATTAACTTTGAGTGCACAGTGACGCCATTTTATGATAAAGGATTTGTGTTTAACAATAGAGAATTTGTTTCTCGTATCAGTGATATATCGTTATCATAGTAAAATGATTTTTACCCAATCACATAGCAGAATTTTTGGAAAGTGTTTGAAGTAAGTTCGTGGTATTTTAAATATTTTCCTTCCCCTCCTCCCCCATGACATCATACCGTTCATGACATATTGCGTATTTCGTTTTGAAATCAAAGTTATGCAGAAAAAATACATTGTAAACAGTGAAAGCGATAAATTATTTTGAATAATTTAAATTGTGAGATATCAGGATAACAATTTTTTTTAGATTTTTATTTTATATCCTTTTTTTTTTTTTAAAGTTTATGATTTTTTTGCCAAGTGAATTGTACTTAACCTTACAAAAGAATATATAAACTGCGTATTTTGTGTAAGTCGATTAAAATTTATGATGTTATTAATGAATTCATGTGTAAAATATTTTTTTAATTTACAGTTCTACGAATAGAAAAGATAGAAGATATTTATTTGCTCCAGAATTATCAACAGTAATGAATGCAAGTGGAAGAAAATTAAGATCTGGTAAGATAACTAATAAAGTAGCTGGCAATGGAAAATCTGCGAAGAAGGCTGACCCCAAAACAGAAAATAAAAAGGTAATGACCAAGACAGTAACCAGGGCAATGACCAAAACTTTGAAATCAAAACCTGCAAAATCTGACTCTAATAATAAAAATAATGTTAAAGAAGAGAAAGAAAATGAGAGCATGTTAAAAACAAAAAGAAAGAATAGTCTTAAAAATAGGACTACGAAGCGTGTAGTTTTAAGTAGTAAAAGAAAAGCGAATATTTCTGAAGTAGAAAAGTCAACGGGCTTACGACAAATGTCTTTGAAAGAATCTTTTTTGAATCAAGAAGCTTTATCCAAACGACTTCGTCCGAGAAAAGATTGTAGGAATTATTGCGAAGATTCTGTTGTACAAAAAACAAGTATATCGTCTCAACAAGAAAATGATCCAACAGCGAGCAGTAAGTCGAAGTTGCCTGTGTATAAATCCATAAAACTCAATGAAAGTTTAAGAAATGTAAGTGATATATATGATTTTAAATTTGATGAAAACGACTCTAAAGAAAAATTAATGGGTAAAAGAAAGAAACGTATCATTAAAAGAGCAGTACAAAAGAAAACCAAGAAAACTAAATCCGTTGTACAGAACAAGTTGAAAGAAGTGCGAGTGGTTTTAGAAAATATACCTAACGATCCAGTAACATTAACTAACACTAAAAAAATTAAAGTCAATACTGATAAAACACATGCATTACCATCAACCAATATTGTAAAGAAATCCGACGATGATGTTAAACAAAATAAATTAATGCCATCGATTGAAACCAATAACTTGAAAGCTGAATCTAATAACTTTCAACATTTAGAAGTGAATGAAGTACCATTGATGCAAAGTGTTTCTGAAGATAATGAAAAGACACCACATACTAAATTATTGGGACCTAAAATAATTTCTGTCGAAAATATAAATAACACAGATATATCACACATGATTAAGACTACACCATTAAAATCACAACAAAAGACATTTGCACCATTCAGAAAAACGAATATTTTTGGTAACAAGGCTAAATCGTTCTCTGAAAGTACGATAAACGATTCGTTAATTAGCAAATCTTTGTCACCAATTAAAAGGTTGACAGCCAATTTTGATGCTGGTAGTCCTTGGAGATTGTCACCAGTGAACACATTTTCTCAAATGAAGAGTCTATTCCAAAGTACGCCACAGCCTAAGATGTTGCAAATATTGGAAAGTAAAATAAAAAGAGGTACGAAAGATCAAGCTATTAAATGCTTGGAGAGCAATAAGAACAACAAGTTATCGGAAACGATTAGCGAAGATGTAAATATCCAGAAAACGTTTGAAAAATCTAATTATTCTAACAGAAAAGTTGGACAAGTCGTGAGAAAGTTTGGAAGAGAAATTACAAATTTAGATAATTCTGTACCAGTAAGCAACGAGAATGTTGTTAACGAACATGAAGAAGTGGAAAGTAATAAAGAATTAAGACTTTCAAATAAAAATTTGCAGAATACAATTGGTATTACATTGATGAATACTCCTGTGTTAAATGATACAAAAGAAGATAAGGAGAACGCTGCACCTAAATCTCCTTCAAAATCTCCTTCCAAATCTCCTTCCAAATCGAAGAATTTTTTGAAAAAGAGATTAAGAAAAACTACTGATATTAATTTCTCTCCTAAACGCAAGAAAAGTTGTATAGAGGATAAAGAGAATTCAAATATCCAATTGCAATTGGACAACACACTGAAATTGAATCGCACCGATTCTACGTTACATTCCTCAGACAAAAATCAAAAAGAAAATAAAGACATTTTTGAACCACAACCTGGACCATCTGGTTTACAAAGCTTCAAATCGCCCAATCACAAACCATTGCAACAAACAAATTTAAATGGTTTTTTAAATCTACTGGAAGTACCAGAGAGTACTAAGATAAGTACGATTCATGGTATTTTTGATGATGCACAATCAACGCCTATCTATGGTAAACCTTTTAAGCCTATAAAAGCGACCAATGCACAATACATGGAATTGGACAATGCTTTTGGATTTAATGACGTTAGCGATACAATTTTGGATATATCGCCGATTCATCCTGACTCGGAGAATGAAAATATAAAAGATAAGAAAATTTTGAAAATAAATGTGGAAGAAAAAAAAGAATTGAAAACTAATACAAATGTAGAAGAAATAAAAAGACCATCAGAACTTCCTATAAGAATATTACCAAGAGAAATAAAAAAGAATATCGTGTCAGAAAAAGTAGATTCTGATGAAAACGATAAAAAAGATAAAAAAGAAATTGATAAGGAAAATATGACAGCAGAAAAATCTTTGTCAGAGACAAAAAACAAATTCATAGACATAGTAAATTTTTCTGATACATTTGATATTTTGAAAGAATCGAAAGAGATACAGGATGATAATTCGTTAAATGTACCGTTATTTGCCGATCTTCCTACTCATTTTTCAGAGGTATGTATTATCGTTACAATATTTTTATTTATATTTAATGTTGTGCTTCAGAAATTACAATAAATTTATTTAAACTTTGTTTAGCCTCCAAGGCGTTCATACAAAAGAAAACGCAACGTCAGATTTAACTTCCAAGAAAATGAGAGTTCTGAAGAGGAAGAAAATGATAATAATGATAAAGAAAAGAAAAGAAAAAAGAAAAAGTATGGAAAATTAAAGGGTCCTGAAGTGAAAAGATTAGAGGAGTGGGTACAAAGTATTAATGAAACTTTTCAAGAAATTGATCATTACGATTTAGTTGTAGAATAGAAATTATAAAAGCAGCAAAAAAAATCATTACACTATCATAATTTTTTTATTTTCGTATACATTTATCATTTGTTCATCATATGGATGTGTCATCTTTTTATCTTTGCTTTATTGTAGGGTCCTATTTTATTAACATTTTTATCATCCGATTTTAACAAAATACTAAATCATATATAAAGCTTTTATTATTATTTTAGATGTAAATGTATATGTATACATATATTTTAGATTTGTTAGATCTCTCACTGTTTATATACGTGCTGTATAAGAATGCATATAAAACATAAAAATGATAATATATTTATATCTGTTCTGAAAGTATAATCGAAATTTATTTTATTATACATCGTATATAGATAAAGTATAATTTTATTAACCCTTTGCACTCGAAGTTATATTTTTCATTTCATGTATTACGAACAACTAACAAAGCAATTTCAATAGAAAAAAAATCATATTCACGTATTATAAATAAATGACATATGTGTAATTAAAAGAAAAATCATAGTTGATATGTTGTAGACTGAATTGAATTTTTTTCAGTTTTTATTTCTTTTTTATTGTCTCGTAACGGAGCTCTCGAGTGCAAAGAGTTAAAAAATTTAAACCTTATAATTAATTTAATTTTTTTTATCTAACGGTAATGTAGATGTGTTTCTTTGTCGATAGAATATTGACTGTAATGTCGACGATCAATATCATTTACCATCAGAGAAAAAACCTTTCAGTCGATAAGGAAGTGACCGAAATGATCAAACCTATAGTCAATAAATGAAGTAGCAGCTAGTTTGAAAGAATCTCCGCTAGACAGCATTCATATAGCAGCGCGCGTAGGGAGAGGGTGGTAGTGGTGGTATAGAACGATGCGCGCGCATGGTTCGAAGGGGGGCATGCGCAGGAATACGGGCGAGTAAAACGTCTGGAAGTTTAGTGCATGGCGGCGCGAGGCCCGTATCGATATCGTCGTATCGCGCACCACTCGAGCTAACGTCCTGGCCGGGCACGAGTGCGTGCGTGCGTGCGCGCGGTGCGCCGGATTTCTCTCTCTCTATCTCTTTTTCTCTCTTTTTAACTATCTATCTTTCTATCTATCTTTTTCTGACAGTTAGTCTATCTTCGTTTGCCCGTCAGTATCTCTCATTTCAACTAACGTGTCTATTTTTCTCTCTCTCTCTCCTCTCCCCCTCCTTTACCCTTTTCCACCTCCTTCCCCCTCCTCCTCCTCCTCCTTCCACCTCCTTCAATAACCACGTTCCCTCTCAGTCTTCTCAGTCGTTCGCATCTTCTTTCTCCTTAAGCGCGTTCCTTGCGCGATTCCTTTCCTTTTATCATCGTTGTCCTCATAATCAGCCTACACCCTATTTTTTCTTTCCCATCTACCCTTTTATTTTCTACCAATCTCCCACCCTTCCTCCCTCCCGCCGCCGGTGCGTAAAGGTTGTACTCTCGAAGAGATCGCGAACACGCGCGCGCGCGCTCTCTCTTTCTCTTTCTTTCTTTCTTTCTCTGTCTCTCTTATGCGAACGTTGAAGGCGATCGTGGCGCGTTTTGCGCCAAAGTGCGCGACCGGCTTTTAACGCAGAGCACACGTTAGTTAGTTCGGTTTGTTCCTTATCGGGTATCTCGTGCGCGAGTTAACGATTTCACACGAATAGTAGTGTATTTCCTGGCTGTTATCACTTTTACTAAGGTCTTCTTTATCTCTCGTTAGTCTTCAGAGGATTCGAGGACATCCCCCACAGGATCAGTGTTGAAGAAGACTCTGAGAGCTGCCTTGCCCTGTTACCTCGTCTAGGATAAGCTGAGAAAGAAGTGTGTACAAGAAGTAATATCCTCCCTTCTGGTAAGTCCTGTAAAGATTTTTTTGTTACTTTTATAGGTTCCTTCTTTTTAATGAAATCTTGTGCCCTGAAAAGGGATTTTTCTTTTTACCAACATCTTTTCATTTCCTTTAATTTTGTTCAATAAAAATATTTTGTTTTAATAATAATCGTATATGCGAACGAATGATACGCCTGGTGTCGTTGAATCGGTGACTCGTTCCAAGTCTGATGTCATCCCCGTTCAATGTCAGAGGAAGTCGTTTCCTATCGCGTGTCTTTCCTGATCTCGAGAAACGTCACACACTTTCCAATATCTCTCGTAGTTCTCGAACGTCATTCCTCGTGCACGTTTACATTACGTTTTCATCTAAAGCCGATTTATCCACATGTTCCGATATTTTAATCCTTTTACTCGAATGAACTTACTTGAACTTCCGAGAATCTTTCATGATTTTCTTTTAATAAATATTTTAATGGAAGCAAAAAAAAGAATTCAAACTTGATTTACAAGAGATCAGCTTAAAGGATGTCTTTTTTCCTTCTTTTTTTTTTTTTTTTTATTTGAAACGAATCATACGTTTATTTCCTTCGTGTAACAGAATTTTTGTTGTCGGATTTGTTTCCATTTCTTTCTTTCTTTCACGATGTCTTTTCCTTTATCGAGTCCATTTATCGCTGTTGTTGAATAGAATGAGAATAAATAGAAAAAAGAAGAAGTGAATTCTGTTAGAGGTTTCCTTCTCGTTTTCATTTCCGATCGACACGGCACTGCAGTAGTGGCACGACACGGCGCCGGTTGAACGATGTGAGATGGTGATGGTTCTACTTGGAAGTTAGGTTGCCTGGTTGGTTGGTTGGTTATATATTGTAGGAAAGAAGGAAAGTACGAAAAAACGAACCGGTGCTCGGCCGGCTCTGACACGCTGCCTAACGATCCGGAAAACGTTCGAGGGGACGAGAATCGATTCGTTCTTCGTGAATACGAACACGTCGATCTCTCTCTTTCTCTTTCTCTTTCCTTTTTTTTTTTTATTTCATTCTCCTGCCTAAACGAAAAAGAAAGAAGAGAAGAGAGCATGGAAAATAGTGTATAATACTTTCCAATAACAGCATCCAACTCGGAACTGAGAACGGTCACGCGTTATTCCTAAACGACGCCACAGGTGTGGTCGTTGACTCCTCGTAGTATACCCAAACTAATTGTGTCATCATAATTATGATACTAACCATTCTATTTTCAATTGATTTCGTTTGAAATTATTTGTTCTAGAAGAATATTAAGACGGGATTTTTAAATTGTTTATTTAGATTTATATTTATCATCATTTTCTTTTCTTTTTCTTTTTAAGATATTTTTTTCATATATTCCTCCTTTTAATTTAATTTTTTTTTGTCGATTTCAGATGACTCATCATCTAAAAAGACGTTTTATAATATAAGGAAATTATTTGTCCTGGAAGAATATTAAAAGTGGATTTAAAATTATTTATTTAAATTTAAATTTATCACGATCTCTTTAAAGTTATATTTTTATTTAAATATATGTTTTTATATATTTTCGTATTTAATTTGTATTTTTTTTCGATTTCAGATGACTCATCATTTTATTTAAAAAGACGTTTTATAAGATAAGGGAATTACTTGTCCTAAAAAAATATTGAGACTGATTTTAAAATTATTTATTTAGATTTAATTTTATCACGATCTTTTTGAAGTTATATTTTTATTTAAATAAATATTTTTGTATATTTTTATATTGGTTTTTTTTCGATTTCAGATGACCCACCATTTTATTTAAAAAGACGTTTTATAATATAAGGAAATTATTTGTCCTGAAAGAATATTAAGACTAAATTTAATATTATTTATTTAGATTTCCATTTATTACGATATTTGTTTCTTTAAATATATGTTTTCGTATGTTCTCTCGTTTTTAATTTGTATTTTTTTGTAAATTCAAATGATTTTATTTAAAGAGACGTTTTATAAGATAAGAAATTATTTGTTCCAGATAAATATTAAAACTGGATTTAAAATTCTTTATTCAGATTTACATTAACCATCCATCTTTTCGTTGCATGCCTGTCTTCGTGTATCCTCGCGTTTAACTTATAATTTTTTTGCGAATTCAGATGACCCATCATTTTATTTAAAAAGACGTTTTATAAGATAAGGAAATTATTTGTGTCGGAAGAATATTAAAATTTGCTTTAAAATGATCGATTTATTTTAGTGGTCAATTAACTTTCACCACACCATTTTTTCTTTGCATGTATGTCCTCGTATATTTTTGTGCTTAATTTTTATTTTATATTTTTTTTTTTTTTGCGAATTCAAATGACCCATGATTGTGGTCAAAAATACATTTTATAAGACAGGAAAATATTAAACTTAAAAGAAAGGAAAATATGAACTGGTTTTCGATAATGATCGATTTATACTGACCTTTAATGTCATATCTTCCTTACGTACATATCTGTTTAATTTATATTTATTTTTGTGCGTATTAATATGATCAATTATTATTATAAAAAAATTTCGGATCATTTGTTATTGAATTTATTTTGTATTATGTTTGTTCTTTTGTTTTTTTTTCTTTGAAGGTTAATGATCTTTCGGAATAGGGCAATTAAAGGAACTTTAAACAGGAAGTTGAAAAAATATAGAACGATGTAGAACGATGTAGAACGACGTTGAACGATTCCCGATTACACGTTTGTTCCTATCGTTTCACATGTCCGTCCTATTAAAGTCTACTAATTATGTAGTAGCTCCCTTCTATGCTAATTATAGATTAGACGTTAATAGCCCGATTAGATAGGAGTACAAGAAGAAAAAAAATAAGGGAATGATCTTGCGGCTTGGGCCAGTCTCAATCAGTTTTAAATGAACTGTATCTTTTTCTTGATAAGAGAGTTGTTAGCATCCTTTAAGGTTCATGGGGTCGTTGTTCTTTTCCCTATAGGGAACTGAAAAAAATTAAATCGTTTCTATAAAAGTTTTTAAAGGTCGTAACATAAGAATACGTAAAATAACATTGTAATACCAACCATATGCATTTTATTTGCATATTTCACATGTTGTTAATGATATAATAAAAAATTACGTCTATCAAAGTACATGGAAAAGTATTTTAATTGTAAAGAAAATTATCTCACAACTCAGATGCTACTTTGATGGAACTTTGATGCAATTTAAATGCAATTTTGATAGATATGACTAAAAAATATTCTTACGAAGATCGTAACATAAGAATATGTAAAATAACATTGTAATACCAACCATATGCATTTTATTTGCATATTTTACATGTTGCAAATGATATAATAAAAAATTATGTCTACCAAAGTACATGGAAAAATATTTTAATGTCTACCAAAGTACAGGGAAAAATATTTTAATTGTAAAGAAAATTATCTCACATCTCAGATGCTACTTTGATGGAACTTTCATGCAATTTAAATGCAATTTTGATAGATATGACTTAAAAATATTCTTACAAAGATCGACAATTTGAGTAAAACGTATATGATCGGCTTAATAAATTGTATTTGAGAAAAATGTTATCCCCTCGACATTTAATTCAACGATACTCATAGTTGCTCGTTAGATTTCATGAAACGATCATATGGGTTACGCTCGATTTACTTGTTTCCGGAACGAGCCGTGTCTCTTCTATATTCCTCTCTGTATATGCAGTTTAAACGTTCCTGTACAATTGTATTTTCCGATATGTACCTTCCACATAAGCTCGTAATCGTTTCGTAAATGATCCTATCATTTCTACACGGTACGTTTTTAACACAATTGTGAGAACATTTTTGTTTAAATAGTTTTATATTTCTTTTTTTTTGTTTTTCAATAATTTACGCTCCACTTAAAAATTAAAATGTTGTATGTGGTCTATTCATAATCACGTTCATCAATTTAAACGAAAAATAATTTAGATTACGAAGAAATTATTAATACAATCCTGAGACTAAATTTTGATGCAATTTTGTGGATAGTACTCGTAATAAAATTATTATATAAACCATACATTTATATCGTTCATTGGCCGGTATCCAAATTTTCGTATGAACAAGTTGGTATTTTTCTTTTTAATAATTTTCATCTTATTATTAGATAAATTATTTTAGTTAATAGTTTAATGTGAGGTTGCAGTAGGTAAAGGATTCAAGAGGATCAACGACACTTGGGCAATAGGGACGGCTAATTTGAGAACGGACTTTCATTTACGGTTTAAATCGAGCGTAACGTGACGTTCAGCGTACCAAGAAAGAGAAAGAAAGATATATTTATATATACCTATATTTATGAGATTCTAAATACATCTATAAAGACAATAAAATTAGTTTTGAAATACAAAAATAGCAAGCTGCTTATCTACTTGAAAGTATTTAACTGTATCTTGAAAAAGATAAATGACGATACGGTTAATTTACTATTAAATTGGATTAAATCGAACGAGTTTTTGTACTTTCTACGATCTATACGTTCCATTTGAAACTTCAATTACGCGGTTAGTTCAATTGAATTTACGACTCATTCGAAGATTTAAAAAGTAAAATACTTTGAATTGTTATACGTTCAGATAAAACAAGATTTTATCTAATATTTTATCTAATCGCGCGTTATCGGTTCAAATTTACATCGTTTCTTATCGTTGTTGAATTATCTTAACATTTGTTACATTTATCGAGCTTTTTCTTGTAAAAGTTTTTTTTTTATAGTTGGATAGATAATCCACGAGAGTAGAAGTGCTTCTAGCAGTAACCGGAAACGGAAATGAGGAGACAGGCTACTTGCTATATTGTATGCTCATCGCATTGTAATTTAACCTACGATGCATATATAGCAAGAACTATTTCAATTCTGATCTATTAGCAATCATACGTTGAAGGAATATTTTATTAGCTTGCATTAAAATAAGAAAGAAATTTTATTAAAAAGACTTATGGTATTTTTGGATTAATATTAAATTAATTTAAATAATAATAATATAATATTTATATTATAA